ACTATGTCAGAAAAAATATTATTAAAAATAAAAGTGGAACCAAGCTATGTGTCTTGTTGAAAAAAATGTATGAGGTTGTAAAACTCCTAGATTTGAAAAGCAGCAATTGTCAGCATTGCAGAAGTCACAGCATGTAATAAGAGAACAAATATGCAATTTCACAATTTTCCCCCAATCAGCAAGAGAAAAGATAGCTTTAGGCACTAGGAAAAATTACTGGCCAGAAAAGTATCAGGCAAGTGTGAAAGTCACAGAATGCAGCACAGAGGCACTAACAAATCAACAACTTGAAATCAGCAGGAAAAAAAAATGTTTTCACAGTATGGAGATTAATTTGAATTCCTTATGTTTGTAGATAGCTTTGTTAAATGCATAGCTGCAAAGGCAAAGTGAAAAGTTGGCCATTCTAATAGGAACATGAAGCATGTAAGGTTTTTTCTATTTATGTACCATTTCAATTTATGTTGTTTTTTATTTATTTCTGCTTGTGCTAGTAACTTACCTAATTATCCTGTTGGACAAAAACTTAGGAAATGAATTAATTAATGGAAATAAATGAATAAAGCACAAATTTGTGTATTCCTAACTTCAGTAGATTTACTTTCATCTAATCTGCCTAGGAAATCTGGAGGTAAACAAAGACTAAGGCACCACCTTCAAAACACACAATGAGAGGTTATAGTATTGAAATTTAGGCTAGACTCTCACTGGCTTTTTCTGGCATCTCTAGCCAGGTAGAATCCAAAGATTTTAAGAGGAGAAATAAGTAGCTAGCTATCCTCCATCCAGTAACTTTATAATTGGCTTGGATCTTATCCTGGGAATGAGGATTAGAACTTAGTTTGGAGACTAGTAAGCAATGGATAAGAGCTGATAATAGGCAAGTTTCCAGAATCATACTAGGGAAATTATTTTTTCCTTTGGCATAATAAGGGAGAAAATTTGCATGTGTATTAATAAAGACATTTTAAAACTACAGGTAGTCCTCATTTATATTAATTGGGATAGGAAACTGTTGTTAAGCAACACAGTTGAAAAACCATGTAACCCTACCGTTTAACAACAGCAGTTGTGGCAATCCCAGTTGCTGTTGTTAAGCAAGGACCTCATGTGAACGCAGTTTCCAATTTCTTGCTGGCTTCCCCATTAACTTTCCAATAGGCAGAGAAGATCCTCATCATGAGCAGGTAATCATAGGAAACTGCAACAGTTGTAAGCACAAGATCAGGGGTAGGCAACCTTGGCTCTTTTATGACTCATGGAGTTGCCTACCCCTGCACAAGATCATGTTATAATTGTCACTCGTTCTGCACTGTTATAAGTTCACACAGTCGCTGAATGAGTGATCATTAAACAAGGACCACCTATATGGAAAGACTCCACAGATGCAGTTGTATGATACATTTACTCAGTACAGGTAGTCCTTGACTTACAACAGTTCATTTAATGACCATTCAAAATTACAAGGAACTGAAAAAAGTGACTTTATACCATTTTTCACACTTAATGACTATTGCAGCATCGCCATGGTCATGTGATCAAAATTCGGATGCTTGGCAACTGACTCATATTTATGACAGTGACTTATGACCATTTCACACTTATGACCATTGCAGCATTTCCAAAGTCACATGATCAAAACTTGGACACTTGGCAACTGGCATGTATTTATGATGGTTGCAGTGTCCCAGGGTTGTGTGATCACTTTTTGTCACCTTCTTACGAAAGCAAAGTCAATGGGGAAGCCAGATTGACTTAACAACCACGCTACTAACTTAACAACTGCAGGGATTCACTTAACAACTGAGGCAAGAAAGGTAAAATGGGGCAAAATTCATTTAACAAATGTTTCGCTCAATTTTGGGCTCAATTGCAGTCATAAGTTGAGGACTACCTATATCCTTGAATTCTTTGTGTTTTCTTATTATCAGGACAGGATGCATTCAGAGTTTGTAATTGAAAAGATTGGAATAAGATATTTATTTGTAAGCAATGTTTAGTCAAGCCAATAATCTCTTTATTGGCAAATAAAGATCAACATGCCCTTGAGGAAGCATTGTCACTGAAGTGTACTTTCTTCAAGGAAATTATAGTTTCTTTCACTCCCCCAACTTTCCATAAACAAATAGATAGAACATGGAGTAAGTGGTTTTTTTTGCTTTGTCCTATTGGAGCTTTCATGTGATAGGCTTTTCTTAATGTTCTTTGGTTGAAACTGATGGTTTCTGTCAGTGGGCTGTTCATCCAAAACTGTAACAGGGTTCTTTTTAAAAAAACAAAACAAAAATCTCTTATTGGTGGAGGAGAGCAAATTACTTTCTCTGTCTTAAAAATAAAATTAAGCCTATTTTAAGCACACACTTAAGTTTTCAATACATTCTCTACCTTACATTTTGTAAAGAGTCTTTCAGGAAAAAGCAAGCCACTGAGGAGACTTCTACCACCTTCTTCAAATATGTTTTTCAATTTCTAGCCTAACTACAGGAGCTGCTTTGGGATTTCCCATCTAAATACTAAACAAGTTCAACTCTTCAGCTTGAATTGAAATTCAGTGGTGAAGTTAAGAGGGAATTCCAAGGGCTGGAGAAACAGGGAGGGTCTTGGAGACTGTAGTGTATTTGTGCCTCTTTAACATATTTGTCTGACAAGTATAACTGCAACTTCTTTGCTAAAAACAGTAACTAGATATTTAAACATAGAACGAGAGGGGCCAGCTCTAAATTGAACAAATTAAAAGCTGAAATATTAAAAAGGTAATAGATCTTAGTTACTGGTGGGCTCATGGAATCAGTGTTGTTTATTTATTTGTTTATTTAGCAGAATAGAATGGGTTTGGAATGCTTTCTTCCAGAGTATTTTTTTTTTACATTTCTAATAAAGAACCATTAAACAGCTATGACAAAGTGAAAAGTCATCACAAGAGCTTCAAGGCATGCATATAGTACATTCACACATGCGTAACTAAATCCAAATAAATCTTATACATGGCTAAGTATGTTGCTCCCTCCCAGATTTTATAGTTTGTAAGTTGTGGTTTTTTGCTTACTTTGAATCTAATGACTAATTACTTACTTGATTACAATAGGCTTAGATTGACATGTGAACCAGATCATAGTGTTAAAGCTGCTGCCATGATTGTTTGTGTGAACTAGACAGCCTGTATATAATTGCTTACTCATGGTTAACCAAAGTGTTGTTTACTCAATAAACACAACTCTCTGGGTTCATATGACATTAAACCAAAAGCACCCAGGTTGGTTTTGCACAATAAAAAGGGCTAAAATGTATTTAGCTATTTGGTGTGTCACCAAATAGCTAAACATTACAGTACATTTCATTCAAGAAATCCATATTTTTTATTGCATTTTTCCTTCAAAAGCTCAATCAAGAACTGTGAAAATTCTGAGCTCAATTGTTTTGCTCAATTTTTAATGAAGAGGCGTTTCAAAATCTCTCTTCAGGGTGTTTTAAACACTGAAAAGAATATTAACATTTTATAAATAAAAATAGAACAAAAAGTTTCAGAAATCTAGTGCCCTAGAAGTGAAGTGATAAATATAGTAACCTAGTATCTGGAGGCCATGGGGTCTGGATAGTAAGGAACACAGTCAGACTCAGTCCTGACAAGATTCTATTGCTATGGTTATTTGAGCCCCTGAGGCAGTGATGGCGAACCTTTTAGAGACCGAGTGCCCAAACTGCAACCCAAAACCCACTTATGCATCGTCGGGTGCCGGGTGGGTGTGGCCCATTGGGTGGGCGTGGCCAATTGGATGGGCGTGGCTGCAGTGGTAACAGCAGACTGGTTGGGACTAAAAAGTTAAATCAATCAATTCCAACTTTGCAAGATCTTTTTTTTCCCCACGAGAAGTTGAAACTGACTGATAGATTGAACCTTTTTTTTTTGTACACGGCGGTGGAGGCCTAAAGCGAAAAGGTTTTATAAAACCCAGCTGAAGGCGTAGGATTGGGGCGACGGTGCGCGTGCCCATAGAGAGGGCTTTGAGTGCCGCCTCCGGCATCTGTGCCATAGGTTCGCCACCACTGCCCTAAGGTCTGAGGCATTTTCACCTTTGGTCCTGATGGGTTTGCACTTCCCCATTTGAGACCAGTGCGCACTTTGGGGGAATCGTCCTGGACTCATAGGAACTGATTAAAAAGCAGGTGGTAGTTATGACCAGGCGGGTTTTTGCACAATTTGATTTTGTGTAACAATTGCATCCCTTCCTGGACCTGAAAGCACTATTTACAGTCACTCATGCATTGATTCAGTACATTAATGGCACAATGTGATACTCACTTTCTTCATTTCTGACTCACTCAAGATCTTCCAAACAATTTATGAAAAGGCTCCAGTGTGTCAGCCCTTGGGCTGATGAGTTGGTGCTCATGTATCCCTTGTGACAATTGGAGTTTGAGTTCTCTCCTTTAAAAAAACGTATCTAAAAATTACGCAGATTTTATTTGTTCTATCTCAGTGCTAAGGAGCTTAAAAAAAAAACCCTGCCTTGGTTGAAAATTCTTTGGAGATTCTCAGTCATCTAGGTCATAGTTGTTCCAAAGATGCTTTTTCAAAAGGCAACTGGACTGGTTTTTTTCTTTGAGGAAGGAGAAGATAATGTTTCGTTTCTCATCCAAGAAGCTTCATCAGTTGTGATGGTGGGGGATGGGATGATAGGTACCTGCCTTGGTGAATTTTCTTCCTCTGGTCAGCTAATATACAATATGGCACATCAAAGTAGAGAAACTATTTGTTCTGAGAACTAAAAGAGAAAAATATGATTAGGGAAGGCAATCCCAAATTACACTTTGAAACCACTGTTTGTTGTTGGTTTTAAAAGCCTAGCTTAATTGTCATTTGTTCTTCTGCTTGCCTCTGGAATCCTGGCTTATTGTTTTGCCAGGAACAATGGAGGAAAAGTGCAACCTTTGGTTGAACAAGCTGGCATTATTTTGCTTTTCTTGAGGTAACAAGGTTTTAAATTCTGTTTTTTCTGTAGATGCTGTGAATGCCTAAGATGTTGTGGAAGAAGAGACCCCAGGCCTCGAACCGTCTGGCTTGGCCATCCAGAAAAAAGGGATCAGAGATATCCACGCAATGTCGTCAACAACCAGAAGTACAACTTCTTTACTTTTCTACCAGGAGTAAGTATGATCCTAGGCATTGCTTAGAATCTACAACAAAAATCAGAACATCATGTGTGGCATGGTGTTGTGCAAATTGACATCATTAAGTCATTGGCATCAGTCACATGACACCTCTGATGCAAATCAGGTAATCATGCTATTTGCATGATGATGTCATGACCTCTGTGATCTCATTCCCCCCCCCAAGATGTTTCTGTGTAGGACAGGGTGTCAAACTCACAACGTCACATGACGTGTCGCAACGTATCATGACTTTTTTGCCATTGCCAGCAATAGGGTGGGCACAGTTTTGCTATGATGCATCCGGCCCACAGGCTGGCAGTTTGACACCCCTGGTGTAGGATATCCAACAAACCAAAACAGAAGTGGTTTCTTTTTTAAAGAATCTTCAATTTTTTTCAGGAGAGGAATTATTCAGTTATTTTTTATGAACAGGAATTCCCCCACCCCAATTATTATAATAGCACCATCACTGCAAAAGTTTTATGAAAAGAGTTCCCTCATGAGATTTTCCTCAGGATTTAATGTAAATATGGGAAGCTCGGAAATTCCCATATAGTCCAAGGACTATATGAGAATATCCTGGCCTCTCATATTTACATTAAATCCTGCTAAATGCAGGCAAGGATGCCTCACCCAGTGAGCAGTTGTCTTACTTAAATCATCTACTTCGGAATAAATTTCTAAAGTAAATTAACTCTCATCTAATGTGTCTTCCCAATAGTAATGCAAAAGTACATTTAGAATGAGGATTAAAGATTACTGGAATGAATCAAACTGCTACAGGCAGTCTTTGACTTATAAACATTCATTTAATGCAGGGGTCTTCAAACTTGGCCTTTTTATGACTTGTGGACTTCAACTCCCAGAATTCTGGGAGTTGAAGTCCACAAGTCATAAAAGGGCCAAGTTTGAAGATCCCTAATTTAGTGAGTGTTCAAATTTACAGAAGCACTTAATAAAATGATTTATAGCCAGTCCTTGCAGTTCTAACCATTGCACTACCTCCCATGGTCACATGATCCAAATTCAGGCACTTGGCAGCTGGCATATATTTATGTCAATTGCAGCCCACCCCCCTAACATGATTGCCATTTGCTGTCTTTCCAGCTGGTTTCCAACAAGCAAAAGTCTGATTCACGTAACTGCATGATTCACTTAACAACTGCAGTTGTTAACATCTGTGGCAAAAAAGGTCATAAAATCAGGCACAAGTTACTTAACTACTTTGCTTAACAACGGAAATTTTGGTTCCAATTGTGGCTATAAATTGAGGACTATCTGTATTCTGTCTGGATGAAAGTATTTGGGGTGTGTGTGTGTATTTTTATAAATCAGTAAAATTTTACTGTCTAACTTTTTTCCTTTTTATAATCTTCTCAGATTAGCATGTTTTTATGGATTGCTGCTCTTATGCTGGATGAGTTCCTTCCAATATTTCCTTGTCACTTACCTGATCTTCTCCCCCCTCTGCTTCTAGGTCCTGTTCAACCAATTCAAATATTTCTTCAATCTCTACTTTTTATTTCTTGCCTGTTCTCAATTTGTTCCTGAAATGAGGCTTGGTGCACTTTACACGTATTGGGTTCCACTGGTAGGTAATATCAGGTTTATATATCCAAGAAAAGTTTCAGTGTTTGAATACAAGTTGTCCTTTGTTAACCTTATCTCTGAGATCCAAGTAATGCTGAAACTTAAAATGGTTTTTGTTAGCTTGTTTTATGAAGCCTGCCCTTTATGTCTTTGGGAATTGTAGATGCTTGGTCTAACTTTTTAAATTGATTTAATAAAGGTTCACCATTTGGAAATAAAACCTTGAGTGGTACAGGAAAATGAAATACACAGGGAGACACTTGATCCAGGGAGTAATTTATCCCATAACTCAATCAGTGCAAGAGTTCAGTTAAAGAGATTCTCCTGGGTTAATTACCTTAAAAAGTAAGTTGTCATGGAAGTATTTTTGTAATTGTCTTTGGAGCAATTGACTAAACGCTGAACAAATACTCACAAAGTAGATAGTCTTTTGGTTTGTTTGTTTTTATTTTTCTAGATCCTTCCAAAGGTTAAACTATATAAACTATATATTGACCAATTTGGAAGTTAAGGAGGAACATGCTGACCTGCATAATTCCAACTGGTTTTGCTTGTTCTTCTCACCAGCAGTCTGTGTCTAACAAACCAGATGGTTTAATTGTTTGTTTAATACAAGGAAGTGCTACGTTTTTTGTGTGTGTGTGTTTTGCATCAGCAGCTACACTTGGGTTTTGAACAATGTGTGTTCCCAAAGACAAAGTTGGTGGGGGCAGAAGTAAAGCTAAATTTCACTTCACTTGATTTAAATATGCTGTATGTTGCAGTAATTCAAATATGGTTTAGATGTGTTTTCTTATTGGCTCAACTAATTGTCAGAAGAAAAGTATGGTTAGAAGAGTTGGATTAAAAGTAGGAGAAAACCAAAAATGTAATAAAGTTAATAAAATTATAAATAATAACAGTCCAATTATGTGTTTAACAGATTCTGTCACATTAAGAATTATAATGGATAATACTTTTTAGAGATTTCCAGAAGCCACACAAGATTATTAGTTGGGTAGCTGTGATTTAGTATACCTTTAGGGATTTTAATTTCTTTCAATTATAGCTCTCTCAACAAACAACAATTTAGCAAATCAGGGCTTACGATAATGTGATTGGATAATATTTTTTACTTTAAGATAGCAAATGGAACATCAAATTTTCCCTTCCTCCCAAAGTAGATCTATATTTATTTTCATGGGCAAAAACAACCTTAGGGTTGGTGGGGGGATTTCAAATGTAGAAAGCAACAGAGAGGAATAGGTTAAATTTTCCCTTCTCTTCTCCCCATTCCCAGTTGTAGTTATTCTGATTAAGCCTTTGTTTGCTTCTGAAAAGAAAAAAAGTATTGAGAGATAGCTATTTTCAATGGCTAGGCTTAAATTCAGAATTTAACAAAGCAAGCCACTTTGTAATGTAGCATGAGAACTAGAAACTTTCCCCTCTTTTAATTACCCTCTTGCATTCTTAATATGCTTTCATTTTATATGGTATGAAATACACATCTGGCTGCACTACTGTATAGTGTTTGTTGTAGGGAGCTTTAGAAATTAGTTTATACTCTTTTTTTTTACAAGGCTTGCTTCAAACATTAGCTCATTGTAATTTGTTCAGATCACACGAACCATTAAAATTCAGAATGTGAGCTGCCAGAGTTATAAATAATAGACTTTTTGTTCATTGTAGACTGCTGAAACAGCCGTTTTGGAGTCAAATAACAATGTGAGAGGAATCAGTGAGGCAGAATAAATGGGATCGTTTTAATGATTATTTGGGACTCCAATCTTTAAACGCATAGATATCTTTTTCCTGTATAGTACACATAAATCTTATAAACTGGATTTTGAGGTAGTATTTTAGAGTAATAATTAATATATATTGTAAGCACCAAATTAAAATGATATCATGATGGGAGTAAAATAGTATGATAATTGAATGCTACTTATCTACTAAGAAGAAAGCCTCATATTATTGGGACTTGCTGTCAGGTACTTCAGTAAGTATTTATCTGGGTTTATTTTTAACTGAGGGAACAACAATACTGCAAATCAGGGCTTGTGATGATATGATTGGATAATTCAAGGCTGTTATTTTTTTACTTTAAAATAGCAAATGGATTTTCCCCATCCTCCCAAAGTAGATCTATCTTTCTTCCAATAGGGCTAAAACCAGCTTTGGGGAGGAGAAACATGAGTGAATTAAATAGCAATAGCAGTTAAACTTGTATACCGCTTCACAATGCTTTACAGCTGTCTCTAAGCAGTTTACAGAGTCAGTGTATTGCCCCCAACAATCTGGGTCCTTATTTTACCGACCTCAGAAGGATGGAAGGCTGAGTCAACCTTGAGCCATTCAGAATTGAACTCCTGGAGTGAGCAGTGAATTAGCCTGCAGTACTGCATGCTAACCACTTGGCCACCATGGCATATACAATACAATACTCTCTAAAAATACAATAAATAAAATACAGGATTTGAGTTTAGATAAAAGTAAAAAGGGTTGTTTTATTTCTCCAAAAGATATTACCATTCTTTCAAATAAAACTTAATAACCCTGAATTCCTTTGGGCTTGCTTTATACAGTATACTAATGATTTCCAAATTTGGGAGAGCTGGAATCAGTCCCCTGTATCATTTGCATCTCTTTGTAAAGTAATGTCAAGCCTTGAAGGCATATAGTAATGTGATTCTGAATTAATGTTCATGGAAGCTATGCAAAGGAGTAGAAGATTGCTGGAAATTAGTACTAGCAGATTGATTTCCTTTGGACAGCTTAATTACATTTACAAAACAAATTATTTCCTTTTCATGATTCAGGTAAGAAGAATCTACATCAAGAATGTTCTTACACAGATATATAATCCCAATCTGGGAACATATTTTTAAATATTTAAAGTATGTCTTAAAAAGAGAGAGAAAAAAACTATGAAAGAAAATGATTTTATACTGAGAAGTTGAATTTTAGTTAAGGATATTTCTGCCCTCTTCCCCTTCAAAAGAATAAAACCTGTAATCTCACTCACTTAGAAGAAAGTCCTATATGTTCAGTGAAGAATATTTCTAAGAACAGCACTATAGAATAGTTAGTTGCATGGAATAGAGGTTCATTAGCTTCCAGCTTTTTGCTCAAGAGTACACATGTGTTGCATTTAAATGAAAAATGCATAAATCACTATTAATGGGTATCTTTAAAAAAAAACAAATTGTCAATAACAAGTATCTAAAACATTATTTTGATGAGCAGGATTGTGATAGTTTGCAAGCACTAAGCAAGGCAATGGTATAGGTTATCAGAATTAGGTAAGGCTGGTTATGTAGCTACCCAAAACAGCTTTGAGTAGTGAGATGTATGGCATATAAATTTAATAAATAAATATATTTCTTCCTAGGAATATCAGTTGTTGGGATCACAAATGAAAAGATATTTTCTTCTTACTGAATGTGTTTTATTTGTCTTGTTTAAATTGTTCATCACTGAATATTTAAAAAATAAATATTATAGAAATATTTGAAAATACAATAAGTACAATATCTATGGAGTTCCCAGAATCATTGGTTTGACTATTGGCATGAACACAAGGGTGAAATGGATACAACCTTGGTTTGATCCAAAAGTATTTGTATTATCTAGAAAGTAAAAGGAAAGGCCATCTCAGAAATATTGTAGCAACATAGAAGTTGAATATTTGCAGCTTGAACATTGTAGCAATGTGGCTTTAGTAGTGTTTTGTACTACCTGTGTTTACTTCTACTTGTTATATCTAATCATGTAACATAGAATACAGAATAACAGAGTTGGAAGGGACCTCGGACATCTTCTAGTCCAACCCTATCCTCAAACAGCAGCCCCTATACCAGTGGTAGGCAACCTTGGCTCTTTTATGACTCGTGGACTTCAACTCCCAGAATTCCTGAGCCAGCTCAGGAATTCTGGGAGTTGAAGTCCACAAGTCATAAAAGAGCCAAGGTTGTCTACCCCTGCCCTATACTGTTTCAGACAAATGGCTGTCCAATCTCTTCTTGAAAACCTCGTGATTGAGCACTCACAATTGTTGGAGACAAGCCATTCCACTGATTAATTGTTCTCACTGACAGGAAATTTCTGCTTAATTCTAAGTTGGATCTCTCTTTGAGAAGCTTCCGCCCAGTGTTTTTTGTCCTGCCCTCAGGCGTTTTGGAGAATAGGTCGACCCCTTCTTCTCTGTGACAACCCCTCAAATATAATATTGGAAGATTGCTATCATGTCACTCCTAGTCCCCCTACCTATACCTAGTTCCCTCAATCATTTATTTATTTATTTATTTATTTTCTTAAATTTATATGCCGCCCTTCTCCCCATGGGACTCAGGGCGGCTCACAGCATATTAAAACATTGTACAAAAAGAAATTTTCCCCTGCTAAAAACCAATTAAAATCCAAATATTAGTAGCTGTGGCTCTTTAAAATTGTTTAAAAATTGTCCCTATTTAAAACTCACCTTAGG